TATTACACCAAATTTTCTTATCAAAGTCTTCAATTTTGGTATCTATGGAAAGCACGAAATGACAAAGTCTTCAAAAATTATGACCGGTCGCCTCAGGTTATTCTGGAGATTGCAGTTAAAGAGGCTAAGGCATGGTTTCTAGCTAACGCACCGGGGGAAACTGAAATGATAAGTCAACAGGCGCACGCTACCCCAGCATTGCCACTGGCTACTTCACCTGTTACCTCGACGGCTCGTGGAAAGAGGAGGATCCTACGTGTGGTGTTGGATGGAGCCTAGAGCTGCAGGATGGAGTGGTTGACCTCGTAGGGCTTCGAGGCATACGACGGAGCGTATCCCCTTTACATATAGAGCTCCTTAGTCTGTTATGGGCGATGTCGAGTTTGGAGAAGAAAAGGCGATACTGTGACTTATTTGTTACAGATTCGCAGGAGTTAGTTAATATGGTACAGGCGTCGGAGCAATGGCCGCGTTTTCGGACGGAACTCGACGAGATGAAGGCTCTACGGGCGTCTTTTCCAGACTTTACTCTACGGTATTGTCCAAGAAAAAGAATGCTGGCCCGGCACGCCCGACAAAGAAATGAACTGTTTTTGCATATTAGCACTTCTGTCCCGTACTAGTTCACATCTGCTCATGTATTTGGATAAGTTAGGCGGAATGTGTGTTCGTGACCAAAAAAAAAAAATAGAGTCTTCAATTTTAAATAATGAAACATGAATGATCGAAAACATTGATAGATTTTGGAGGAAACCTTAGTAGTATAATAGTTTCTCTCAGTTTTATTGATTAGCCAATAGACTTATTTATACAAGATAATAACTTGTTCACCAAGTTCTTTACATTTATGAAATAGAAAATCTAATTTATACACAAATATTAACTTTCCTAATCTTCGATATTGATAATATTTCCATAATCTCGGTCACTCATCTTGACCGTTCAGTCTCGGTCGATCTCGACCTCTCGATCTTCCAATACCCACCGGCAAGCTCATATGTGGTAACACGGTTGAGATTGGACACGTCTTCAAAATATCACGGTATTATACTCGGCCGTCGAGTCATCATCGACGTTTATATCCGGTCGTAGGGTCATCAATGGCGTTTATACCCGGCCAAAGGGTCGTCGATTCAGTCGAGAATACTGTAGTAGTTGTGCATCTCCATCGTCTCACGTCACCATGTAAACTGAACGAACTCATTTTTGGTCCATGAACATAGTTTACGGCAACGCCATCATATCATCACCTCCATCGGATCCGTATATACCCGTTGGAGTCATCGTCTTCGTAGCAAAATCGAATTTGTAGTTGATCAATACCACATGAAGATTTCATGGAATCTGTATTTTGAATCAACAAAACACCATAATCATCAAATTAGAAGAACAAGATCACTTTTTTTCTTTTCTAAACGATCAAAGCCAAAAATCAGCAAAATAATTGTGTAATAAAATATTAAGAAAGTTCCAACGAGAAGAGAGATCGAAGGAACAAGGTCAAAGAAAGAGAAAGAAGAAATCGATCAAATAAATATCAAAAAATAACTCGTTCACATTTTTTTTTTCATAGCGAAAGATAGGAAAACCTAAACCCATAGGAATTGGATCTAGGCTCTGATACCATGATAGATTTTGGAGGAAACCTTAGTAGTAGAATAGTTTCTCTCAGTTTTATTGATTAGCCAATAGGCTTATTTATACAAGATAATAACTTGTTCACCAAGTTCTTTACATTTATGAAATAGAAAATCTAACTTATACACAAATATTAATTTTCCTAATCTTCGATATTGATAATATTTCCATAATCTCGGTCACTTATCTTGACCGTTCAGTCTCAGTCGATCTCGACCTCTCGATCTCCCAATAAACATTTTCTCAAAATAACAAAATACCAAATAAAGTTATTAATTTTTGATATTAGAAACTATAATTACAAACAATCTCGTCCTGTGTGTATACGCGGGTCTTTACCTAGTAGCAAGTAAAAGCCGACAGTATAATAACGATCAAAAACGGTGAGGAGAATTTGATTTCGCATCAATGGTTCAACACGTACTATGAGTGAAGTTTGATGGAGAAAATAAATCATGAAATGTGAAACAATGGTCTTCACCGCTATATTAAGCTCTAATGTATATCAAATTCATATACATGCGTATAATCAAGCCTGAAATATTTTCTTTTATTTAATTTACTATTTTGGAATAAAGCTTCACCGCTTGTTTAATAAATTTGGTACTAAGCTTTGCATATACTTGGATTTTAACAAAATCAACACTTTGGGCCTTAGTGTTTGGGCTACATGAGCTTTCCTTGCACAATTTAATTAGTATTTTTTTTAGCGTGCAGTATACTTTTTGTTCTTAGTATTTAGGGTTTACCGTTGTACTAGTGCAGCCTATCCACCATGAAAATGAAATTACGGCGGAAAAACGTCTCGATCCCTATTGATCTCATTATCGAGATCTTCTTGAGGTTGCCGGTGGAATCTATAGCTAGATTTCGTTGCGTATCGAAGCTTTGGGGCTCCCTTCTTTGCCGTCAAGATTTTACAGAGCTGTTCTTCACCAAATCTTCAGCTCGGCCACAACTCTTGTTCGCTTGCGAGAAAAACGATGAGCTCTTCTTCTTCTCTGCAAATCAGCCTCAAAACCCCGATGAGAACTCTTCTGTTGTAATTGACAATCATCATCTTACGCATTTTCCCTGTGATTGTGAAGTCTTTGCACCTGTCAATGGTTTCTTCTGCTTAGGTCTTGAAGATAAGAAGATCTTAAATGGCAGGGAATATAGAGTGTCTGTGTCGGTGATATGTAACCCTAGCACCGGACAATCTTTTACCTTACCCAAATGGAAAACGAAGAGGAGGAGAGGAGTGGGTAGCTATCTTGGATATGATCCTACTAAAAAACATTTTAAGGTATTGTCCATGACCTGGTTAGCTAAAAGTGGGAGTATCTCTGAGGAGAAGTTATGTCACTAGGAACTGAACACATGTTCATGGAAAATGGTCGAATGTTGCATACCCCATTATCCTGGAGATGATACTAGTCAGGTATTCATTAATGGTGTTGTGTACTATAAAGCTACGATCAACAACAACATACCTAGGGAGGATTCTATGATAGTTTGCTTTGATTTTAGGTCTGAGAAGTTTAACGTTTTGAAAGTCAAGGAAACTTTCAATAGAGCAATGCCTCTTGGATCAATTCTGATAAACTACAATGGGAAATTAGGGTTGCTTATGCAGGATGGATCTTACTACTCATGCATTGATAGAGAAAGTAGAAGTTTTGAGTTGTGGGTTCTAGAAGACAACGTAAAAGAGGAATGGTCAAAGCATATATACATATTGCCTACTTCGTGGGAGAGTGTAGTTGGAGGGACACAGCTAAACTTTGTTGGTATTATTGGTACAAATGAGATTGTGTTGGCGCCTTACTACCATTCCATGCCTTGCTACATTTCCTACTATAATATCGAGAAAAACACGATTACAAAAGTTGTGATTCAAGGATCAGAAGCGCTCAAGGGTTGCAGTTTCATAACCTTTCTAAACTATGTAGACAACGTGACTCTTATTCAAGAGTTGTAGAACTTTAATATTTTGCAACATAGCTAGTTTGACTCTCTCATTATAGGAGAGTCCTTCTCTCTCTCCACTGGTTTTGTGTAATCGTCACTTTTCTGGCTTATTTGATGACACTATTTTTCAATGCTTTCTGTGATTGTTATGGTTACTATATGCATTCCATTTTTTCAGTTGTTCATATACTCTAGAGCAATGTTTGTTCTAAGCTAAATTGAGTTGTTTTATAGTTTATAATGTTAACTCAACAAATATTGAAAAAGCCAATCAATGTTCATCAAGTCCCCAACAGAGAATAAGACAAACATAACCAGGTTGTCCAATAGCTCGCATCTCAAATAGAATAATACATCAACTCTTTTTTTTGGACAACAATAATACTTTTCAGTCATCATTTACGTTTTTACATTGTTTTGGGGATCCCTTTCTCACGGGCTATGAAGAGAGCCATATGCAGGGCAAGAGCCTCGGCCATTAAAGGCGACGAGACGGATTCTTCAACAACAGCCCCTTCAAAAGTTGCATTCGATTCACTTTCAGGTATGATTAGTCTTTTAAATGTCCAGCCCAAACCTGCCATTAGTTCCTCTTCTTTCCAGGCACCATCCGTATAAACCAGATAAGTAGCTTCCGTAATGTTCTGTTTCGGCTCGGTTGCTGGTATCGAAGCTTGGACAGTCCTCTCCGTGTATTTGGCTAACTGCCATTCTCGAGCGTCTGCAACTGCTTTTGTGATTGTTTCTTGTGGTGATAATACTCTTTTCTCAAAGATAAGCATGTTTCGGGAATACCATATAGCCCAACAAATCCATGGAAACGGAGGCAGGCATATCGAGCTTTTTCCTTGTTTTAGGCCAGCCTGAAAATCCAGTATCAAAGATGAGTCTATAGGCTCTTTATAGGGGGCACGAAACATATATAATCGACCATCGATCCATATGGCTAATAGAAAATGGTCAAGATGTAATGGTTACGTGTCATTTCGTGCTATGCTTTTGTTCCTTGTTTCAAAGTTTCAGGAAGATGATCTGAACTTAAGATCATATTCATGTCCATTAGATGTTGACCATTTGGTTGATTCCAAGTGGACACCAAAAAATGTCTTCCGTAACCAAATTTTTTCTTCCATACTCGCTAGTCAGAACAATCATATCTATTTATTTCTGATTTTCTGGTGTTATATATATATATGTGTATGTGGTCTGTGTACAACTTGACAAACGCATCTAGAGACGATGGAAGGAGGGTAAATGGTGAAGAAGATCTTGTTGCCATCCGAGGAGGTGACACTGCATCTCATAAGAAAAGAATCAATCCAATCTCAGCCCTACAATTAAAACTCGTCTCTGAATAATCCAATCTTGAGATTTTAATTAATTCGTTGCTCTATAAAATTCTGTGTTCGAAATTATCAAATTCAACAATAACGAGAAGGAGATAGAGATTCAAACTCTGTTTATGCACTTCGATTTTCAATCTCTGTTTTTATTTTCTAAGAAAGTGTCTATGAGAGTAAAAAACCCTTTATGGAGGGGGTGCTGATGGATTGATTATTGGGCTTCATAAGAGCATCAATAATGGAGAGACTCTTCACTGATGAGTCTGTAAATGTAGTTCCGTGAAACCAAAGTAGATAGATACTTTGGTGTCAGTGATATAGGTTGCCAAATGTCGTGTATTTAGGAAGAGATTTTGAGAACCTTATAGAAGATGGCAATATCCGTATCCGTATCCGCATTATTATTACCCATCTAAAAAATACGCATTAACATGTACTCAAAATCGAACCAACACACTGTATTTGGTTTTGTTAGTCGGAATAAAAATTTGGACCTTGCATTGAAAGGAATACAATTTATGGAAATTTCACATATGAACAAGGTTTTCTTTGAGTTGTGATTGATGATAGTGGCTAGAATTACTCTTGTTATAGTGGATACATTAGCTTTATTACAATAAGAGCTGATCGAAACACTTCTACTGTTAGTGGACGGTTTTCTCGAGTTGGCATTTTGATATGAGAAAATAGAAAATAGAAAATAAAGTTCGAATCTTGATCAGAGCATTGTAATTACTAGCATGTTGCAAAGTCATCCTCTCATTTTCATACCGAACTCTCTCTTTTGCACCAAAACAATTACCAACTTCTCAATGACTCATAAAATACACAAACTTATGTTGACTCAGCTAAATTAGGTATAAAATTAGTCAATTTTAACAATCATTCTAAAAATGTTAATTACCTTTACTATAACCGTTAAGTTTCAAAACGACGTCATTTTGAGATTAGGAAAACAAAATCCTAGAAGAGAAAACGGGCATCTTAATATCGTACTCTCCGTTTTGCGTCAAAACATATACCAACTTCTTAATGAGATACAAACTACCCAAACTTTTGTTGACCCGGCCAAATTAGTGTCCGCGAACGCGGGAGTCTCCGAGCTATTGGGAGAGTTTGGTGATTTAAAGATCGACTTCGCACTTAGAGCAAGCAACGATCGACCAAACGTCGAAAACTCCAGCTAATTAACATCATCATCACTCTGTTTAAAATCATTAGTTTCCTTTTACTTTACCGCTAAGTACTCATGGAATGCATCTAGCAGTTGCATTATCTATTCTGTTTTTGAAAAGATAAAAGAGGAAAAAGATTGCTGAAATTTTGATAGAAAAGAAAGGAGAATCACAATTGTCGGGATTGGTGACCTAGTCTCCCAAAAGACCATGCTCGAGGTATCGCTCTAATACAGCTCAATCCTACCCTTGGAATGATGAGAACTTCTCAATAGTCTCCGAAAGGGCAAAGTCGCTTGACTCAGGCCATAAGCCTCCGCGAGAGTTCTCACACTAACCTGTCAAGTCTTTGGACTCAGGTTATCGCAACCCTCACATCAGTTCTCGTGCTACCTGTCACGTCTCCAGATTAAGGTTATCGCAACCTCTGTGTGGGATCTCGTGTCTTCCCAGGTCTTCGGACTCAAGCTACGACTTCCAAGAATCTCGTGCCCTAATAGGTCTTTGGACTCGGGTTAAGGCCTCGAGGGTCTCATCTCTCCGTATCTCCGGACCCGGACTCCAATCTATAGTTGAGTAATTTTATACCTAATTTGACCGAATCAAGATAAGTTTGTGTATTTTATGACTCACTCAGAAGTTGGTATTTATTTTGGCGCAAAACGGAGTGTTCATTAAAATGACCGTTAAAATTCTAATCTGAAAACGACGTTGTTTTGAGACTTAATTGCTACAACGATGGTTAACATTGTTTAAACAGCTGTTGAAGTTGACTAATTTTATACTTGATTCGGCCTAGTCAATATAAGTTTGTGTATTTGTGACTCATGAAAAAGTTGGTATTTGTTTTGGTGCAAAACAAAAAGTTCCGTATTAAAACGGAAAGTTTGTGCCAATATGTACCAGAAAACTGGCTCTCGTAATCTTTTCGAGTAAGGGATGGATGAAGATTTTATATATTGGCACTTATGTTTTTTATTGGTTATGTGATACGAATAATATATATTATTCTATTTGTGTAATCGATAAATAAAATGCGTTAGTTATAAAAAAATAAAAATAATAAAA